AACACAAGGGGGTACAATAAAATGAGAAGCAGAGGTTACAAAATTACAGCATGTAACAGAGTATAAGAATGAGCCCAAATGGCCATATGACTAGCTTCGGTCTACTTGAATCAAGGGCAAAGGTAAATAATGCATTAATGTCATAAGGGCATGTTACATAGTTCCATAGGTAGAAGGGTTGCCTACATGATTGTACACTCAAAAAGAAGGAATGGAGAAAGGAAAAGGGGAAGGAAGAGAGCGAAGCTTGCCTGGGGAAAAGGAAGAGAAAAGGGAAAAAGGATATCCCATGTGGAGTATTCTATTGTGGTAACCCAAGGCAAGTCACAACAAGGATCATATCGACAGGAAGCAATCCAGGCCCAAATGTTTATTAAAATTTTTCCAACGCTCCCAAACCTTCAGAAGCTTGGCCCCATGGGGAATTTTGAGTATGATTCATATTCTATATTCTGCCACAGAGGCTTGAGTGTGCACTCAGCCCAAGTCCTGGCTTTAGAGAGCAGGCAAGGACCATGTAAATTAAACTGAGCCACCGAAGTTCACAAGCCAGAATAGTATTAGGGATTGTTGCAGCACTCCGCCATTGGCCACTCTGAAGGAAACCGAGATTGGGCTTTGGAGTGCTTTCCAGTTGACTGTCTCCATCTACATTACAATATAAGCATCAGAAAAATACTTTTAATTCCTTAAAAGTTATTGATAAGAGCACTTATGTTAAAGGAAATTGTATATGATGGCTTCTGTTGCGGATCTTTCCTTTTGAAAGAAACAAGTTACTTGGTTCTGCCGATTCAGTCATATCAGTGTTTTTTATTTAGTCACTGACCTGGAATTAGCATGCATATTAGAATTTCCGAGTTTTACCAGCTTCACCCTTGTTTTGAGTCTGATCTGTCCCATGTTTATTTTGTAGAAAACATAGGACTTTATTTTTCCCCTAAATAACTACTTTATCATGCTTGAAGATTTCTACCAGCTATCCAAATGTATTTTTTTTATAATACTAACAAAGTATAAGTAAACCCTCACCTTTTTGTCCTCATGCACACTGGACATTTTTACAGCTGCTGTTTTTTGGCTTTTGACTTTTTTTTTTTTTCCTTCCACAGCCAGTAAACCCCCCCCCCCCCCCCCCCCCCCGCCATCATGTTATCATATGTGTAGATACACACATAGACTGTAATCAACGGTTTTTTGGCTTGAAAAAACCCCCAGAACTAACCATACCATTGACTTCACTGGAAGCTAAAATCAGCTTCAAGGATTTTTTAAAGAAGAATTTCCCCCAGAGAATTTAAATTAAAATAATTTATACTGTTAAAATTACTTCACATCAACTGCTGTGCTAACCATAACCGTTATCATCAGACTAAACAATTTAGCTGGAGAAATAAGGCTATTACAAGTTAGCTGAAGAAAATGAAAGTTTATAGTTACCAATATGGACTCTATGGTGTCAGTGATGTCCGCTCACTTCAGAGTATGTCTGCATCCGTCTGTTGTTCCTTGTCTCCTGTTTTGCCTTCTGATGTCCCGTCATTTTGGTGATGTGTCCCTGTCTGTCTCCTACTTTTATCCCCCCCAAAAAACCTAGGCGGGCAAAGCTTATTTTCACCTAAAAATGACGTCCGACAAGGTGTCATTTTCTCTACCAATTGATTTCAATTACCTGAAGGGGGTAATATAGGATTAAAAATGATTTTGGGTTTCTGACATTTCTTCTGTACCATTTCAAAGGTTGACTTTTTAACTTTGGCTAGTAAGAAAACTCTAAATATTGAGAAGATTTCTTTTGACAGAATTGGTCAGACATGCTGTGACTAATGTCACTAAAAATAATGTATTACTTAAGTGATTCTGGAGACGAAAAAAAAAATCTACCTAATATATCCTACAAAAAAGGTTACGTGATTTTACTGGGACTTCTTATTATTTTAAAGTCTTTGTAACATACCAATGTTGTAATATAATGAACTATAATTATTTTATAACGTTTAAAAACATAATATACACAATATACCAATTTTATTAAACAAAAAAAAAGTGTGTGTATATTGAATCAAGTAATCTAAAACTTGAATTACTTAAGTAGGCAAGTATTCACTTCATGCAAAACTAATAATAATAAAATTGACATTTTTGACTTAGGTAAATGTGCCATATAATTATAACACCATATGCAATGTTAAGTTTTTTTTTCCAGAGGTTCATGGGGGAAAAAAAAATCATTGTGCACAGTTCTTTTGTCCTTTGTTCAATCTAGACATGGATTCATCTATTTATCTTACAACTTTGTATCATGTCTAGTCTTATCTTGTAGCTGTCTGATACCAACATGCCTCGCCCCAAATTTATAACCTTGGAACATTAGCTGGAATGACTTTGGAATGCTCTTAGGATCTGTGTTCAGAAACCATGAAAATAGAATATACAGAACAAAATGGCTTCTAGCATGCCCATGTAGAGATAAGTTCACGCCTTCCTGTTTCATTCTGTGAGTCCAGAACAGTTCCCGAAAGTACATAATGCACAAAGCCCAAGGCCCAGCTTTCAAACCGACCGCATACAGAGGTATGGGCTGAAAACCAGAGGACATGTCTACAAGAAAGTATTATACATGTATGTTTATTTTCCTGCAGAAATATGTGCATTTTATTTTTTCACCAAAGGTGAACCTAAAGTTGTCTTTAAAAAACATCCTCTGTAGGTTTGGTTTAATTCAGCAAATGGCATTCCTATACGGGTTACTTTAATTCAACTACAACATTTATTAATGGAGAGGTTCATCTTTTGTAAATGTTACACCTGTATATAGATCAATAGACTACTACGATTACCTATAGAATGCTTCAGGTACATAGTGGACACATGGCTCTTTGTGCATGTCAAGCTATTTGGGGCTCCGTTGAAGAGACTTTTCTTCTCATGTCTGGTAAAAACATTGCTAGCAGGGCAAGAAGTGAGGGAACGCTCCAGAAGTAACACAGAAATTTTAGAAGAGTAGGGGAAGATTGGCTTTTGAGAGAGCAAAAAGAAAAAAATCTATTGTATTTTGTGTTTGCCTCACAGAATATAAAGAGTTCTGTGAATGGACAAGGGGCGAGAGAGGGCAGATAAAAAATGACAGTATGGCTTAGTTTATATGAGACTCCACTCTCCTAGTCGCAGCGGTAAAGTAGCTGACATAAAAATACATTGTAAAAAGAATAGGTAGCAGAGCTAGAGTTGGAATATACTTCATGTCTTTAACTTTTTTATTTTCCCCTGCAGTTTGCTTCAAATATAGCTCTTTGTGATTTATTATAAATGCCATTTAGATGAACAGTGTTATTTTGTAAATTCTCTGTTTAAAACAGGCATTGTGAAATGGTATCTTTGGTATTGCCAGTCACAACACTGCCCTATAATGGGCTTGTACGTTTTGGCATTGTTCAGTAGTCAGGAGGATGCATACACCAAGGAGATAGAAGTCATAAGGCATTCACAAGATATTTTCCAGTGTTAACTTTCAAGCATAAAACACGTATGTGCTCAGTTTCATGGTTGTTACTCCTCCTGCAAGGTCATTCACATGACTGTTATCTTCTGGGTGAGCCATTACAAATTAAAATTGCAATGACCAATCAGGCTAATCATTGATACCGTGGAATATACAAAAGACAGTACAGTAATTCAGTAATGAAGCTTTGCAGTAAAGGAGTTCTGACTTCAGTTCCCTTAAGGGACACTTATCTGCTTGAATTTTCTATGTTCTCCCATTGTTTCTCTGGGTTTCCTCTAAAACGAGGGTCTCCAAACTTTCTAAACAAAGGGCCGGATTACTGTCGGAGGGGGCTGTCCTTCAGATTTTAGGGGGCTGAACTCAGACAAGTGGGAGTAGGAAATGTATTCATGTCAGTGGGATTAAACAAGGCCCCATCTTTGGTATTGCAAGGGGAATAGTGCCCCATCGTTGGTGTCATTGGGAGGAATAGTGCCCCATCGGTGTCATTGGGAGGAACAGTGCCCCAGTGTTGGAGTTAGTGGATGGTATAGTGCCCAAAGGGCCGCATCTGGCCCCTGGGCCACAGTATGGAGACCACTGCTCTAAAATATTCTTGTTTAAAGGGGAGTCAGATATTTGCAGTCATGGAGGATGTGAGGCAGGTGGAAACCTGTGTGTGACAGTTGGTTTTAAAGAGTTTTGTAAACATTCCTTTTTCATAAAAAAAAAAAAAAAGTTATACTTGCCTACTCTGCTATTGTTTTGCACAGAGCAGCCCACACCCTCCTCTTCTGGGGGAGGGGGCACTCCTGGCTCCTTCCCTTCACCGAGTGCCCACCATAGGAAGCCACTTTCTATGGTCACTCCTGTGTCTGGTGTTTGCATCTATTCCGATACACAGCTTGCCTCGGCCCCGCTTTCTGCTCCACAGGTTTTAACTGACGGCAGCAGGCTTCTGCTACTCTCAGCCAATGGCTCCCTGCTGCAGACGTGCCTGGGAGAAGACTGATCACATGTAAGTGATCTTATCTCTCTGCTTCCCGCTTGCAGTATATTTGCAGTGAGCAGTCGAAGGAGATTAAAGTGTAAATATATATATCTCTGTCTACTTACTTGTCGTCCCACCCCCACCTTGGATAGTAAGCTAAAACTAATCCTAAGTGCATCTTGGTACCTCTCCACACTGCCTGGCCATGCCCAGCACTGTCTACCTTTACTTTCTCCCCAGCTGCTATGCTTCACTGTGCAAGTGCATTTACATGTTCCATAAAGGTGAATGGTAGAGTTGAGTTGTGTTTGCATTGACGTGTACGAGGCAGAAAAGCAGATTGGCTAGAAACAAAGCTGATGTACACAAGCTGTTTTCCTCCTCATATATTGGCTAACATCTTGCTCTGCGTCTGTCCAGGACAACTGGCCTAAAAATGTAATCAATTTTGTTACTTATACTGTTGTTTAACTACGTTTGCCTAATCTTTTTTTTTTTTTTTTTTATTTATTTTTTTTTTTCCAGGCATCCTTCTTAACAAAGAAACTGAACATTGGAGGAAAACGGGTGAACCTTGCAATTTGGGTATGAATATAATTTTCCATTATTGTACAGGCTAGGAGAACTGATAACACTTCTGAAAGCTGAAGTTGGGACTCCTTTAAAAATAAACAAATACAGAAGTTAAAATGCATTAAGAAAACCACGGGAACTCGTGAGAAAGATGGATGCTGTCATTGCTGTCCTCTGATTCTGAAAATGCTAGTTGCCTTGCTGTTATGCTGACCCTCTTCTCTCAGTACTTGAATTCACTGACAAGAAGGGGTTGAAACAAACTGAACCTGCCAACAGTGCTTAAGCAATTACAGTTGTCATGTGGTTTGTTTTTTTTTTTTAACTGTTTTTTTTAAATCATACTTAGCGCAGTGGAGGAGTCTTCATGTCTGGGCCCTTTTATAGACAATGAAGAGACACAGTATATATTGTGTGGGGGGAGGTGACCCAGGTGCTGATCACCTGTGTGTTCTGTATTCTGCCCCTTTCTGACCAATCAGAGGTGATGACCAGACTGTCACTGCAGTTTCTAATTGAATGCCTCTCCTTCCTGAACATTACATAAGAAAAAAGCAATAGTGGAAGTGACAATCCCCTACTCCTTCCCTTGTTCTGATCTCATGGCAGATCATCGATATTTATTTATTTTTGCTGGTTGTCCAACCACTACTGTTGTGACTGTCACTTTTGCTGGATAGCCAGTCCTGCATGTAAATGTGTAAGTAAAAGCATGAGTATACTAAATACATGTACAACCGCAATTCCAAAAAACTTGAGACGCTGTGTAAAATTTAAAGCAGAATGAAATGATTTGCAAATCTCATAAACCAATATTTTGCTCACAATAGAATACATATTAAAATTTTAAACTGAGAAAATGTACAGTTTTAGAGGAAAAAAAGGGTCCTTTTGAAATTGATAGCAGCAACACATCTCAAACTTTGAGGTTGGGACATGTTAACCACAGTGTTGCACCCCTATTCTTTTTACAACACTTTGTAAGTCTGGCAACTGAGGAAACCAGTTGCTTGGAGTTTTGGGAGACGAATGTTGTCCCATTCTTGCCTTATATAGGCAAGAATGGGACAACTCAACAGTACTGGGTTGTCTTATTTTTCATTTTAAGATGTTCCAAATATTTTCATTTGGTGGAAGGTCTGGGCTGTAGGCAGGCCAGTTAAGTACCCACACTATTTTACTACGAAGCCATGCTCTGTTGTCATAGATGCAGCATGCAGTTTATCATTGTCCTGCTAAAATATGCAAGGCCTTCCCTGAAAAAGACTTCGTCTGGATGGTAGGAAATGCTGCTCTAAAGCCTGGATATATCTTTCAGCATTAATGGTGCCTTTCCAGATGTGCAAGCTGCCCATTCCATATTTGATGAATGCAACTCCATACCATTAAGGATGCAAGCTTTTGGACTGAGTGCTGATAACAAGCCGGAAGGTGCCTCTCCTCTCCAGTCTGGAGGACACCGTGCCAGTGGTTGCCAAAATGTCAAATTTCAAGTTGTCTGGCCACAGAACCGGTTGCCACTTTGCAACAGACCATTTTAACCACTTGCACTTTTGGGGCACTTTTACCCCATTTGTGCCAAGGCCAATTTTCAGTGCTGTTGCACTTTGACAATTGCTCGGTCATGCAACATTGTAGCCATATGATTTTTTTTTTTTTTTTTTAGGTTTTTTTTCACACACACACAGAGCTTTCTTTTGGTGGTATTTCATCGCTACTGGGTGTTTTTTTTATTTTTTGCACTATAAACAAAAAAGCAAAACATTTGGAAAAAAAAAGTTATTCTTTTATTTCTATTATAAAATTTTGCAAACAGATAATTTTTCTCCTTCACTGATGTGCGCTGATGAGGCTACACTGATAGGCAGCACTGATGAGGTGGCACGGATAAGCAGCACTGATGGGCGCTGATTGGTGGCACTGCTGGCTGCTGGTGGGAGGCACTGCTGGGCACTGATGATCAGTGCCCTGGTGATCATTGCAGATGTCCTTTTTATTTGTTGGTTATCGGCAGTACTTTCCTCCAGGCTGTAACAGCGAAAGTGCTGCCGATAACTGGCAACTGTTTTTATATTGTGATCTGCTGTGTCATTAGACCCAGCTGATCACGTGCTAAAAGACCTCTGTGATTGGCCTTTTACCTCATCATGTGATCATCTGTGTCCGTAGGGTGCACACAGCTGGGGGCGTGCGGGAGGGCACGTGGGAGGATGTGTTTTGGGCGAACTTCATATGACACCCTCCCAGAACTGCACAACCACGCTGTAGCTGTCCTTTGGCAATAGCACGGTTGGCAAATGGTTAGATGCGCTTTGGCCCAGAGAAAAAACCGTGGCATTTCTGGATAATGTTCAGAATATGGCCTCCTCTTTGCATGATATAGCTTTTACCTTACGTTTTTGAATGCCATGGCGAACTGTGTTCACAGACAGTTGGAAGTATTCCTGAGTTCATGCAGTGATGTCCATAGCAGAATCATGCCTGTTTTTTAATGGAGTGCCTTCTGAGGTTAAGAAGATCATGGGCTTCCAATATTGCATTTTGGCCTTGTCCCTTGTGCACAGAGATTTCTCCAGATTCTTGTAATCTTTTGGTACTATGTCCTGTAGATGACGATATATTAAATCTTTGCAATTTTGTGTTAAGGAACATTATTCCGGAATTGTGTTCGAACATTTTTAGGCACCTCCTTTTCACTGATTGGTGAACCTCTGCCAGTATTCTGAGACACTCTGACTCGAAGATGCTCTTTCTATACCTAATCATGTTATTGATTTTGCCAATTAGCCTAATTTAGTTGCAAAATGTTGTACCCCTTACTATACCCAGCTTTTTGTTGTCCTGTCCCAACTTTTTTTGAGACATGTTGCTGCCCTCAATTTTCAGTCTACCTCTTTTTTTTTTTTTTTTCTTAAACTTGTCTTAGCTTCGTTTAATCACTGGCCCTCCGTAAGATTTACCCACCCCCCCTTTCCTGACCAGGCCATGTTTTGCTATTCAGCACTGTTGTATTTCAACTGGTAATTGTGCGGTAATGCAACACTGTACCCAAATTAATTTTGTCTTTTTTTTTTACACAGAGCTTTCTTTTGGTGGTATTTGATCACCAGTGGGATTTGTTTTTGTTTTTTTTTTTTTTTTTTGTGTGTGAGATATAGATGGAAAAAAGACCTAAAAGTTTTTAGTAAAAAAATATTTTACTACTTTTTTTCAAAAAATATCCAATAAGCTCAAATTTGGCATACATTTAGGCCAAAAATGTATTCTGCTACGTGTCTTTTATCCAGAAAAAAGTGTGTGTATATACTATTTCCCAAAGCTTTTACTTCTGACTGCCTATCGCATTTCTTGAAATGCTAAAATGCAAGGGCAGTACAAAAACCCCCCAAATGACCCCTTTTTGGAAAGTAGCCACCCCAAGGAATTTGCTGAGAGGCATGTTGAATCCGTGGAAGATTTCATGTTTTGCCAAAATGTTTTGGAAAATGACAAAACTTTTTTTTTTTTACACAAAGTTGTCACTTAAATGTTATATTGCTCATGCCATACCCATGCCATGGGGTATGGGAAATAACACCCAAAAACACATTCTGCTACCTCTCCCTAGTATGGATATGCCATATGTGAGAGACTTTTTGGCAGCCTAGCCACATACAGACCACCATCAAGCTTTCAAAGGGCATATTTCCTCATGTCACTTCCTCACTACCTATCACAGTTTCGGAGGCCCTAAAATGCCAGGAGAGTACAATTTACCCCCCCCCCCCCCAATGCATTTGATAAGAGGCATGGAGGGTATTTTTCAGTTATTTGGCATTCTCGGGTTCCCGATGGAAGTACCTGAGAAAGCAGTGGAAGGTGGCATCCCATCCCATTGCTTGTAAAAGCGATCCAGTGGCTAATTAGCCGCTAGGATTGCTTTTACATGAAAGCCGACCGCCAGCTGAAAATAAACTTTACCAGGATGTTGCTTGTAGCTGCAGGAATCATCCTGGTATATCCACTTAAAAATCCAGTACATCACTGGTTCTTGTTGGACCTATACACTATATACACTATATTGCCAGAAGTATTGGGACACCCCTCCAAAATCATTGGATTCAGATGGATGGATTGGATTCGCTCTCAGGAGCTCAGTGAATTCAAGTGTGGTACCGTGATAGGTTGCCACCTGTGCAATAAGTCCATCTATTAAATTTCCTTGCTACTAAATATTCCATGGTCAACTGTTTATTGTTATTATAACAGTGCAAAAAAACCCCAAATTTATAAAGTCAGCCCTCCCTACTAGTGTAAAAATAAGCAACTTGCAAATACAGGTAAATATACACCACCCTTCGCCACACTTTTTCTGTTTTAAGTGTCAGGCATTTTATATGTATTTCTATTGAACTATGTGACTCACATGAAAGTGCATGGAAAATGAAGCAAGTTTTTGTAGCGGAATGAATAGACCCTAAGAAAACCAGGGTAGAAATACTGTTGCTGACTTTTTTGTGAGGGATGGAGAAATGGTTATTGGCTTCAGTACTGTGATTTTTTTTTCTTTGTGTTTGCTTACATCCTACAGGATACTGCGGGACAAGAGAGATTTCACGCACTTGGTCCCATATACTACAGAGACTCTAATGGAGCTATTTTAGTGTATGACATTACTGATGAGGACTCTTTCCAAAAGGTAAACCTGTCTGAGCACCCTCAAACAAAGCAATAAACTAAACTTTCTTTCACATTTACTAGTTTTAAGAAAAAAAAAAAAAAAACATGGTTCTCATGGTCGCATTGTGAACCTTGCATTGCTGCACTCACTTTGAGTGGTGGGAGCTGTTGATCCTGCCATATATAATTATAATATACTTTCTTCTGTAGTGAATTTCTTAAAGCATTGCTGCTGTACTGCTACAGCTGTAACTGCTTAGATGCTGATACTGTTGATAGCTCTACCAGTAAATAGTCATTCCTAGATCAACCCACATGATTAAACAGCCATATTGCAGTGTTGGAGCTTAGGGAAGTGGTGTTGAAACTCTTCTCGTGTCCCCGCCCCCCCCCCCCCCCCCCAATCCCCAGTACAATCTAGGACAGGGGAAGGCATCCTTCTTCTTTTTTTTTTTTTTTTTCTTTTTTTTAGCATTGTGTGCCGCCAAAAAATGTTTTCAAAGAAATTTGAGAGTGCTGGTAAATTATATAAAAAAAAAAAAAAAAAAGTAGACTTCAAACTCTCAATCACGAAAATACTTAATTAAGGAAATGCTGTAATTGACTTGAATATTGAGCTTTGCATATTCATAGTTCAGATCACCCCAATTCCTGCACCTTCACCCCTCTGATCAGCCCCGAATCCTGCACCTTCACATCTCAGGTCAGCCCTGATTCCTGCACCTTCACACCTCATGTCACCCAAATGGGAAGGGGTCCGCAGGTCAGTGGATGGGGTTACTGGTAGTAGGGCACTCAACAGAGCTGCTCCTTCCCATACTGCACACCGATGAGATCAGATTATTTTACAAAAACATCCTCAATCTGCACAGTGTGTAACTGGCTGTTGTAGCTGTACTGCTTTTCCGATCTGAGAACTACAACAGCAAGCTACAGTCACACTGTGCAGATCTGGGATGTGTTTGTAAAACACTTTGGTGTCAGCTGTGTGCAGTGTGGAAAGGAGCAGCTCCACTACATGTCAATTGAAGATGAAGAGTGCACTCCCAGGATGGGGAGAGGAGCTTACCAACCCGAGCAGACCCGGCTTCCATAGAAGGAGGGGATCGGGCTGTGCTTACCACTCAACACTGCAGTGTTGGCTAAATGCAGGTGGGCGAGAACAGAGGCAGGTGGAACATGAGCTGGGTAAGAACCAATCTTGTTATCCCAGTATATGTAGCTGCAAATACTTGCCGGCTTTGCTATTGTGGAAGGTGGGTGTCCCAGGCTTCCCTCGGGTGCCATCACAAATGCAGGTACGTGCCATGTGTGGCAAGCGTGCTGGGGGTTGCCGACCCCTGATCTAGGGGGTGCAGGAAAAACCCATCTTGCCAACAGCATTTACTGTTTAAAGAGGTAAATTACAATTTGAAGTCAATTTTCCATGTTAAATGTTTTAAAAGAACTCTTAAGGGCAAAAAAAAAAAAATTTTTTTTTCCCCCCCTTTTTTGTAGGTAAAAAATTGGGTGAAGGAACTAAGAAAAATGTTGGGAAACGAAATTTGTTTATGTATAGTAGGTAAGTTACATTATTTTTAGCCTGATAACTACATACACTTCTTAAATTTTTGTCACTCGGACATCCAGGCGTTCTTAGGCTGTTTGTCGTGCAATGTATGTGCTGTAATGATGCGCAAAAAATTTTGGATAGTGGTCAAGATGCATCTTCCTTGAGAGATTTTCATTCACTTTCTGCCCGAGTGACAGAATATTTTGTTTGTGAACACTTTTTTTTTCCTTCACTCCCTGCTTGGGGCTCCCATCACAAGAAATTATAAACTATAGTTGTAAAACAAAAACATTGCTTGAGTTCCACTTAACCACAATCCCTCCAAAAGTCTGTTAACCTAATCTAAGTATACTGTATACCTGCTAGTAGCCCTGGGCCTTTGGTGTAGTCCTTCAGTGGGAATCATATGCACAAATGGTGTTGAACAAGTGGAACCAGCCTAATGCTGGCCTTTTTCATTCAGCTAGCCAGCAGAACAAAGACTGAGATGATTTCCCTATCCACACATTCAAGGTGTCTGGGGAAATCTTCCCTGCTGTCTCATTGTGTCCTGTGCAGAGGGACTTCCCTGCTGTCAGAATACGCCAATCAGTGCTGCAGCCCATTAGCTGCCTGTGTTGATCAAGCTGAGATTTTCCAACAAACCCTTCATGAAAAGCTGATCAGTAGATCAACTTCTCATGAATGAGAATGCCCAACCACTGATCTAAATTCATCACGTTATGTTGGCTATACATGGATTGAAATTCCTGCTTAACACCCTGGTCACATCAAAGCCGATTTTGAAATCGTCCGACTTACAGTGAAGTCGCGCGATTTCAAAATCGAGTGACCTGCCAATTTCCTTGCAATTTGCAAGACATCTGACACAGATGTCTATGCAAATCGCAATCAAAGTACTGTATGCACTACTTTAGAAATCGGTGCTGCTCCAACCAAGTCGGAAACACACCGATATGACCTCTCTAATAGCAGACAATAGGGTGTGACTTGGCATGTGATTTGTAAGTCGCCTGTCATGCACATTGAATGCTACATCACACCCGATGTGATCTGGGACTAAGCGTTATCAAAGGAACATTATCTTTGAGACGATATTTAAACATTGGATCCCGTTCCTGAACCAGACGCAAATGTTGAAACTGCCCCCCCCCCCCCCCTTCCCCACTCTGCTTGTCTGCTTATCTCTTCTTGTTTCACAGGTTCTAAATACATCAAGACCCAGAGATTTTTCTCTAAAAAATGTGACTGAAAATATATTTCGGTTCTTTACACAGGTAACAAAGTAGACTTGGAAAAAGAGAGGCATGTCTCTATTCAAGAAGCAGAAGCGTATGTTTGTTTTCTTTTTTCATTTTTTTTGTTTGTCTTATATGATTTCCTGATGAAGCATTGTTAAGTTATGTTTGCTTATCTTTTTTTTTTTTTCTAAAGTTACGCAGAATCTGTGGGTGCAAAGCACTACCATACTTCAGCCAAGCAAAATAAGGGAATTGAAGAGTTATTCCTTGATCTTTGTAAAAGTAAGTACCAGTATCTAGTTTCAGATTCCCCTGATCAGCCAAGATTACAGTGAAAGGAACATGCTTTTATAATGCATGCTTTACGAACCATCAAAAGGCATGATATTTGGCATCCCATTTTTTTCAATTGGTCTGGATCACATATACGCATTGCCACATATTATGGAAAATCATTTAGATACATATTTTCATCTTGAGACGCATGTCAAAGAGCCTATAGAAGTCAATAGGAGCTCATGAAAACACATAGCTACTGAAACCCACCCTGGCACCTGTGTTCTTGGTATAGCTATATTTGGAAAAAAACATGTTTTCTCAAACCTCCCTAGATCTGAGCACATAATTGGGGAAAAAAATCTGTGAAAGAAGAAGGGCATGGGTGTGAAGCCACTGAAAAAAATGTATAGAACTCCCTAATTCATTAAGATTAATTCAGAAAGGTAGTTTTTAAGTTTACTTATTTTCAGTGATCTTGTTCAAATTTAAGCTTCGTGCTACAATGATAATTTTTAATACCTTGATGCTTGCAGATAACTACTTGCTGGCATTCACCTGAATAGGATAGAGCTACTTCTAGAAGCTTAATTCTGCTACTTAAATTACTGGAAATTTTAATTGTGAAGTATAGTGAATGATCGCTAAACAAATGGAGAAAATATCACTGCATGGTGTAGGCTATATACAAGTAGCATGTACTGGCATCTTGTGTTGATCAACTGAACATAAATTAATTTGTTTCACAATCATCTGGTACTCCCAACTATTAAATCACTAACAACTTAAAGGAGAAGTAGGGCCAAAGCTCTATTGGTCCTACTTCTCCTGTTGACCACAGGTGTGCACTTAGTTCTGTACTCCTGTGACCCAGATTCAGCTGATGGCAGGCTAAAGCCCACTGTGAACTGATGTCACTAAGCCAGTCCAGGCTCTGGAGAGATCCTGATTTTAAAGCTGGGATCCACCCAGATTCCTGACTAGCAGCTGACTCAGTCTCCGTGAGCCGTTGAGAGTCAACAGCTCCCACCCTCTGCACAGTCAAGCCCTCCAGTCAGTGCTGGAGCAGCACAGAACCTGTGACTGACAGTCACTGGCTCTCTGTCCACTGAAGATTCTGAGTAATCAGTCTTTGATTGTTCAGTTCTCGGTGTTAGAGCCATCAGGGAACAGATGCAGCATCGGTCCACCTAGATAAGTATGCGTGTTTGTTTTTTCAAATCCCAATCTTTTCTTCTAAGTAGCAAGATTGAAAATCTACTGAAAATCTCCTATGTAACCCTGGCCTAATCGGGTGACTTTCAGCAAGTACGTACCGTACATGTCTTGGTAGCAAGAGAATAATTTCACCTTTGGAACAGTAGCCTCTAGGGTTAGTTTTTGAAGACCTAATGAAGAAAATGATGAATGATGGTAACATTTTTAAAAATGCATTTTTTACTTTAAATATAACGGTTATACATCTGTATTAGTCCTGGGTATGTTTGTGAACTCTGTCCCTTGGATCGCTCTAAGACTGAAGCTCAGCCACCATTAGAAAAAAGTGTGCATTCATTCCGAAATGAATGTACAACATATGGCCTCCCTTCTGTATCCTGGTAAACCTTGCTGTCACATTCCAAATACTTTTTAATTAAGCTTTGCTTTGTTTGCTATTTAAGCTCCATTATTTAAGCTGCAAAATTAAAGCTATTACATACTTAATACAGTAGCTGAAAAAGAGTACATGGTGTTATGTTACCTGGGTAAAGGAAGGTGGACATTTCATTTACCTAATTGATCGGCAATCCTTTCATTGATTGGCCTTGCAGTGAAATCTTATTGTGGTGGTTTGCAGTAAAACAGTCTAGCACCCCATTTGTGATACCTCCTTGCATAGAGGCTACTGAAAGTTCTTTATTGCTCCCTCTGTCTTGTCACAGCTGTCAGGAGAGAGGCTGCTGTGTAATTGCCTGCCCCTCCCCTATGTTACATCTGAGACCCCAAGGTCCGGTGTCTAAGTGCTGGAACTGTATTGATAGCTTTACTCCTGTCATTAAAAAAAAAAACAAAAAAAAAACAGATAATATCCCCGTATTTTTATGGTTTGACCTGATATTTATTTACTTTTTTTTACTTTTTTTTTTTTTTTTTTTTTTTGTAATGTCTGAGGTCTGCCAGTAGAAGTTACCTTTCATAATCTTTTTACCAGTAGAATTTTTAAAGTGAAATAAGTAGAGTAGATTTTTAGTGTTTTCAAAACTACTGACTACTGGACGTTTTTTGCAGCTGTTCCTAGGGGCATATGCTGCTTTGGGTGTTTTTTTTTTTTTTTTTCCTGTTACCTGTCTCTAAATAAAAAAAAATGCTGCCAGCATGAATAGGCGCAATGGCGTTTTGGCAGAAAAAAACGCTTGGCACGTGTAAACACATATTGACGCTAGGTACGTTTCACTCTTGAGCATTAGTTAATTTCAGTGGACAGAATAAATTATTATTCTGGCCAATGAAATGAATTCATGCCCAATTGCTTGACGCTGCCAAACTTTTCCAAGCGTTAAGCATTTTTCACAAGGCCTTGGATGGAATAGTAAGAAGAATGATATAGGTGTCTTTAACCCAACTGCATTTTAAAGGCTTTTTTTTTTATGCAGAGCTTTCCTTGGTGTACCCATTTATTTTTGTAAAGTCATGATCTCCCTTAAACATGTAGGTGTGTTTTACTACCCTAATTTTAAAATGTATTAAAAGCAAGTCCATTATTTCCTGTTATTCATGTTAACTTTGGGTGTATTTTCTTTTGTCTTTTCATTCAAGTGGAACTACACTATACCTGAGCACACCAAACCAAAATGCTGAGAAATTTCTTAGAAAGACACCCCCTAATATTTCTGGCTGTGGCCATCTTGAGTAAGGGCAGATGATTCATGTGGCATTTACTTCCTGGAATCCATCTCCCCCTAGCTCTGTCATGCAGACAGGAGGATTTGCTTAGCTGAGAACTCCTCTTGAAGAGTCTTGGGAAGTGTGACATAGTTTCCATGCCTAGGAAAACTATGAATCAACGGAGGGTATGGGGGGGGTACAGTTTAATATTTTTGAGCAGTGTAGATACATATGTACTGTATATCATGTGTTCTTTTTTTAAAGGAACACTTTGAAAACACATCATCAGATCTCAATGGACAAAAATATGCTGGATATCTATACTGATATAGACTGGGTAATGTGTTAGGAATGTAAGGATGCCCCATCATTTGAATTCAGTCCTCCTGTAGGTTGATATTTTTCATTTCTATCAAAGACAACCCGAAAATCAAAGTGAAAAAAGTATGCAGCAGGCTAGTCTATTTTGCTGAATTTTTAATTGAAGCAACTCAAAATGGTACTAGGTAGTTTGTATGGCCCTCACGTGCGTGTGTGTATGCATGCTTGACAACTTCGAGGAATGCTCCTAATGAGATGACAGATGGTGTCCTGGGGTATTTCCTCCCAGATCTGGACCAGGGCATCGCTGAACTCCTGGACAATCTGAGGTGCAACCTGGCGGCGTCGGATGGACCGAAACATGATGTTCTATTGGATTTAGGTCAGGCGAGTGTGGGGGCCTATCAGGGGTATCAATTCCTTCATCCTCCTGGAACTGCCTGCATACTCTCGCAACATGAGGCTGGGCATTGTTGTGCACCAGGAGGAACCCAGGACTCGCTGCACCAGCGTTAGGGTCTGACAATGGGTCCAAAGATTTCATCCTGATACCTACAGTAATGGTAGTCGGGGTGCCATTGTCTAGCCTGTAGAGATCTGTGCCTCCCTCCATGGATATGCCTCCCCAGACCTCCACTGACCCACCACCAGAACGGTCATGCTGAACGATGTTACAGGCAGCATAACATTCTCCATGGCTTCTCCAGACCCTCTCACGTCTGTCACATACTCAGGGTGAACCTGCTCTCACCTCTGAAAAGTACAGGGCGCCAGTGGCGGACCTGTCAATTCTGGTGTTTATTGGCAACTGCCAATTGAGCTCTATTGTGCCGGGCAGTGAGCACAGGGCCCACTACAGGATGTCGGGCCCTCAGGCCACTCTTATGAAGTCTGTTTTCTGATTGTTTGGCCAGAGACATTCACACCAGAGGCCTGCTGGAGGTCATTTTGCAGGGCTCTGGCAGAGCTCATCCTGTTCCTCCTTGCACAAAGGAGCAGATACCTATCCTGCTGTTGGGTTAAGGATCTTTTACGGCCCTGTCCAGTTCTCCTGGAGTAACTGCCTGTCTCCTGGAATCTCCTTCATGCTCTTGAGATTGTGCTGGGAGACACAGCAAATCTTCTGTCAATGGCACATATTGATGTGCTATCCTGGAGGAATTGAACTGCCTGTGCAACCTCTGTAGGGTCCAGGTATCATCTCATGCTACCAGTAGTGACACTGATCCCAGCCAAATGCAAAACTAGTGAAAAACAAATCAGAAAAGATGAGTAGGGAAAAAAAATGTCAGTGGCCTCCACCTGTTAAAACCATTCCTGTTTTGCGGGTCATCTCATTGCTGCCCATCTAGTGCACCTGTTGTGAATTTCATTAACACCAAAGCAGCTGAAACAGAATAACAACCACCTCTGCTACTTAACTGACCAGATCAATATCCCAGGAGTTTAATTGACTTGATGCTATAATCTGATTAAAAATGTTCCTTTAATTTTTTTTTGAGCAGTGTTTTTACTAATGTTAGCAGTATAAGAATCAAAATAGTCAATGTTGATTGAGAGAGTGAAGTTCCACTTTAAGTTGACATGACTGTGTACTTTTTTTAAGTTATCAGCTTACAAATAAAGTAGCAATTGGCATTGTTTTCAACCATTTACATTGTTTCTTTAATTTACTGACTTTAATTTTCACTTTCTTAGGAATGATTGAAACGGCACAAGTAGACGAAAGGGCTAAAGGCAATGGTCCCAGCCAGGCAGGAGGTGCAAGGAGAGGTGTACAGATCGTAGATGATGAACCACAGGCACAGAGCGCTGGCGGATGTTGTTCTGGATAAATGTAAAAACTGTGTGGATGCTTGTCCTATCAGGAAGATTGCCATATTCCAAGTCACATGTTCTTTTACCATTGGAGTAACAGAATTTAACAGTATTGAATCAATAACAAAATCAAAGACCAAGCTCTATACTAGTGGAGTCTGTGACCAGAGAATTGGCATTTTCTACAGCTGTTAACCTAGCAGTTACCAATGGCCTTTTTACATATGTTTTTCTTTAATGAAGAATAATATGCATGTAGAAGAGACCTACTTAAAGCTTCATTTATATTCTTTTTAAATCTGATCCTTATTTAATAACTTATGTACATTGTTAGAATGGTATGCACTTTGCTGCCCTTTGTATTTTGTGGAAAACTAATTGTACTCATAAAAGCATTTTTTTGTTTTGGCAAATACCAGTCATTCTATTTTTGCAAAGTTTGCACATGTTCTAAATGTCCACATTGGTTATACTCGGTTCATTTCTGTAAGATGATCTGATTAATGTGCTCTGTGCATTACTTATTAAATATTTTATCTGCTTTTCCATGTGCAGAAAATTGTACTAGAATGTTGTGAGTGTGGATTTGCAGTTGGCAGGTTTTGTTAAATACTGTTCTGCAAATGATCTGTAATGTCGCCACTAACACTTCTCACTTGTCTGTCCTTATACCTTGCTCTGGTTTGCTGTGATTGCATATCTATATACTTTTTTTTTTTCTCACCAACAAATATTTTTAAATAGCATTGCTAATCGGAGAATCTATAATGACTCAATCAGTACAATGTTATCTTAGAAATCTTGATGCTCTGAAAATACGTTTGGAAAGCGTATACATTGCAAAGTGTAGAACCAGCAGTTGCTGCTTGGTACTTATTAATCTCTCCTTCCATGTAATTGCTATTATTCGTTGTAGAATAAATCATTTGTGTCTAACAATGTAATCTTTTTAGTTTTGAAAATTTTTGTATGCAGTTTAAACAGAATGTCTTTTCAGTGAATTGTAGCCCTTTTAATCCTGTGTGAACTGTAAAGGTGGTAAAATGCTGCAGAGGCTGAAAAAAGTGGGTACCTACAGTTGCATTCATGTAACTTTTTGGGCACCCTAGAAGCCCGGAATCTTGGATTCCTTAATCTGCTCAAGTCAACCTACAGCTATATGCTTGGAATCTATGTAACAATATATGCAAACATCTCTGTGACTGCTTTTTGAAGCTTACTAGTATTTTACATGCTTTACATTAAACATGGGTCCTTATACATTTTCAAAGGACATCAAATTGCTGTGTGAAACCCAAACCTGGCTGTGCTTTCATCCATGTTGAAATTGGGATTTAGGTAGAAGTCCAATCATGGATAATTCAAATGCCCTACACCCCATGACAAACTAAAGCATTTTTATTTTTGTTTTCTAGATGAACCATTTTTTTAAGTGTAGCCAAAATTAATTTCTGTTTTTGGCACCTGCTGGTAGTTTGTTACCTATCAGCTTTTTTAAACTACCATGAACCCCAGATTGGGAGATTCTCACAATTTTGCATACATGCATACAGACCAAAAACGACTCATTTTACCTTATGCTGATCAATGCTGGTTTCTCTCTGGGCAGTGATCACATTGCTTGATGTAAAAGGAAAGGAAAAAAGACTGCAGAGTCTGAGCAGCCTCCATGATTGAACCTTACTGCTGTGTACCTGTGATTGGGTGAGCTTACCCTAAAGCATTGATAATTGAATATTAAATTTAAATTTCTTTATTTTTTTTTTTTTAAATGCTCTTTTTGGGGTGAGAGACACTTAATATTTGTGTGGGTTTATTAATGTATTTGAATTTCAAAGGGCAATTCAGTGAGGATTTGAAGGACATGTTAATGACCTTTTATGGTTTCCTAGAAATTGCATTGTTTCATTTCTGTATAATGGTTTTCTGCATTATTTTGTGAATCAGAACCTTTTCCGTTTTTAGTGAAATGGACTAAAAGGAAATGATTTTGAACATTTAAATGTCGTTCACAAAGAAAAAGTAAGTATCTAAGAGCTCCTTGATTTATGCCTGATGGTCTTGACGGTCACATCTAGAGTATGAGATGAGAGAAGATTTACACTGTAGCTTTATAAAAAAAAAAGTAACCTAATATTGTGCACTTTTGACTTGCATTTTGCATTTCACTTCCTTTTTAAAGAGCATCCTTTGCTGTGTGTTTTAATGCAAGTTAATGTGTGCATAAGTGTTATTAAACATGCAGTGGTTTTATTACACTACAGTGTGAATTTAGCCTAACCGTGGTTTAGTGATATATATATGAGCTTGGTTATAATTGTAATTTTTCTTTTTAACTTGAAGAATGTTGTAGGACAGGTTTTGGCATTATGTATGTGGAAATAAGAAAAGTCTGCTAAATCTAACTGGGCAGCTAGTTAAATCACCTCCCTTCAAATAAAATTGTGTTTTGATCATTCTTAATGGCCCCTTTGTAACTGTATTACTATGGCTTTACAATTTTACAGTATGGCTGTGTGACCTGCTGTCAATGTAGACTGGTAAGGCAGGTATTCTACCCCTCTCTATGAATTGGTGGAATGTTAGGCGGTTCACAGAGGGGGGAGTGATTCTGACATGTCTATGATAACAAGGTGCTGCCTGACTCTGTAAGATACTCATGGTAGTACCAATTGCACTTAATTGTAAATTAATGACACAATAAACTGTTATTCATAGTAAAATGTCTAGCCTTGAGATACTTTGTAATTCTACATTGACTTAACCATACTTTAAAAAAATGCTATTACTCATGGAATATTGTCACGTGTGTTTGAATATAGTATTACATCTGTGGTGAGATTCCGTAAACAAAACAAAAATAGTGTTGAAATGCAGATTTTAAAAGCAAAAGAAAATGGCTGCAGATTGTGTACTTACTGGTGTAGAAAATCATTTGCCTAAAGTAGCACCAACTACTACCAAGTTCACTATAAGAAGGGTTGTCTTAAGTGAACCACAATGCTGCTTGTAAAAGGCCTTTCTAGGAGCAAATGCTACAAGATGCTTCTAACCTCTTTATTTCCCAGAAAAGTCCTTGTGAATTTTTTTTTTTTTTAACTCCATTGACTGCAACCCGCTGTGTGAGTTCTCTTCAATGGCCACTGTGGCAATCCTCTGTAGGCAGTGCAGTGACTTTATTAACGAATGTGAAGACCAAGTAACGCAAATTATATCAGAGGAGCACAGAAGAAGCTTTCTGGCCAACTGTGAGTTGTCTGCTCATAGGCAAGATGTTTACTTAAAATATAACACTGAGAACAGGTTTCACTCTCTACATTGAAATATTCCTTTTAGATATGTGTTTTTAACTTATATTGAGTTCCAAAAATTAATTTAGGGCTTCATACAGCCCAGCTTTAGTTTTCTTCTGGTTGGTTTGACTGATTCCGACACCTGAAACATGGTGAACTTTTTTCAACTTGGTGCTGAGCATGAGCACAGTGATTTTTGTCAGTCAGATGAATACAGAAGTTAAATACCAACTAAAGTTTAAGGGGCTACTCCCCTCCTTTTGAAAGATTTAGTATAATAGTTTTTATTTCCATACACACAAATGCATTAGGATTACTGCACAGACTATTCCAATTCAAAACGAGGAAAAATGTTTCAAATTTGTGATTCCTTTACAGAAAGTGAATGAGGAATATTAGGCTGTTTGTAAAGAAAAATGCAGACACTGCTTTTTTTTTTTTCTAACTCAAACATTTACTGTAGAAACTATAAAAAATGCTTTAAGATTTAGCATTCTTCTGAATTACTGAACTAATATTTAGTTGTATAACCACTGTTTCTGAGAGCTGCTTCAAATCTGTGTTGCATGGAGTCAACAAACTTGTGGTACCTGTGAACAGGTATTTCAGCCCAGTACCATTGCACTTCATTCCATAATTCCTCTACATCTCTAGGTTTTACCTCAGCAACAGCATTTTTGATATCACCCCACAAGTTTTCTATTGGATTAAGGTATGGGGATTGGGCTGGCGACTCCATAACTTTAATCTTGTTGGTCTGGAACCAAGATGTTGCTCGCTTTCTGGTGTTTAGGGTTGTCTTATTGAAACACCCATTTCAAGGGTATTTCCTCTTTGGCATAGAGCAACATGACCTCTTCAAAAATTTTGATATATTCGGATTTATCCATGACCCCTGGTATGCAATAAATAGGGCCAGCACCATAGTATGAGAAACATTCCCATTATCATGATGTTTGCGCCACCATGCTTCACTGTCTTCACAGTGTACTGTGTCTTGAATTCAGTGTTTGGGGGTCTTCTGACAAACTGCAGACCCTCTTCATGGTTATTGCTTCATTGGACCAGTGGGCATCAAAAGCCTCCTAGATGTATGACTGGTCAAGGTTAGGCAGATCCTGCAGCATTCTTCTGTAGGTTCTGGTGTCACCTAAGAATGAGATGCTTTAGTTCTCATTCGCAAGGCCCTGGTGGTCTCCTTCCCACCAATCTGGAGCTGATGCCTTATTTTCATTCCTACCTATAATTATGGTGTCTTTTTTTTGTACCTTCTCCCATCTATCATGAGGAATCTGTTGGTTCAACCCCTGGGGTTTTCAGGTGCTCTTCACACCCTTCTAGACCTAAAAACCTTCCTTAGCATGGTCAGTTATCTGGCTAGTTTACTTTTAGTTGAGTTTTTTGATTTACCTTGATTTTTAGTATTGGGGATGTTAGGCCGCAGGCTTTTTCTTGCAGTCTGGCTGGTCTCTTGCCTGTTTGTCTTCTGCTAGGTTCTGTCAGGACCTGCTTCTTCTGGGGGTGCCCACAAGTGTTTTGTTGACATCAGTTGTTAGTTGTATCTTCCCTGTTGGATATTGTGCTTTCCACCTATTATTGCTAGTTTAGATTATCAGCTCCTTGCTGGCTCAGGTCTAGGTTTTCCCTGTTGGCTCTACTGGGTCTGGAACATCAGGTCGATCCTCAGTGCTTCCCGCCACCCCATCCATTCAGATTCATGCTTT